ACAAAGAAACAGGCTCAGAGGGGAGGGGAAGAGGAGGGACAGAGCCACTAGGAATCCCACGTATAGATGGCTGGAGACAGAAAAAAGAGTGACGGTCACAGAGACACAGACGGTGACAGGCAGCGAGAATCAGAAAGGCTCAGCGTGAAGCCAGAGAGAGAGATGAGGACAGGTGCCGACAACCACAGGGAGGCACCGAGGGAGAGAAGGCCACAGGCGGTGCGGAGCCACAGGAGGTCCAGAAGGCCAGCCGGCCAAGGGCGAAGAGGAGCCCGAGGAACGTGCCCTGCTGAGGAGGCTGGCGGTTCTGGCAGAGGGAGTCTCCCGGATCCCCCGGGGCCCACAGGCTGCCCTGTGTCCCACACCTGGCGGGCGGCACCCTGCTCCCACCCTCCCCGCACCCAGCCCACACCGCTGGTTTGCTGGGGCCTCTCGGTTCTCTCCGCCCCTCCCGCCAAGCCAAAATATTTAGCCTGACAACTGACAGGGGACAGGTCTGTTGGGGAAATAAGGCCCAAAATACAAAGAGGTGGAGGCCAAGGACTGCACTGAGCTCCCCCCACCCCCAGACTCCCCCAAGCCAGCTGCGCAGCGAGGCACTCAGCCAGGAGCCCCGTGGGGGAGGGTCAGTTCTAGGCTCTGCCACCGGTGCCCTGACACCTGCAGGGTGACGGGAGGCCGCCCCGTCGGTCCCAGCAAGTCCTTCGTTTGTGACCCAGACCCCGGTGGAGGGGGCAATCACCCTGTGGCCCTCCCCCCGTCCGTCACCTTCCCGAATTCGGGCTGCTCGGTTGGCCTGGTCTGTCTCTGTCCCTGCCTTGGGGACTGCGGAGCCGTCTGCGGGGTCCCTGGAGGAGCGGACAGCCGCGGGCCCTGTCCCCCTGGGGCCACTTCCTCTGCTCTCCCGGGCTTGAGACAGCCGGGTTCTTGCAGCGAAGAAGGCCGGCGCAGTGTCAGGGGCTGGGACCTGCTTTGTGGCGCCCCGGGAGCTGGGGATCCTGGGGCTTTCCGGGTGCGCGGCCTCCTGACTGGCGGGG